ATAACCTTATTCATCCCTACAACAGGAAATACTTTTTCCCTAACCTGATATGAAGTGTGCGCTGCACATGTGAGCATTTTTGATGATGGCCTCCGTCCAGTCCTTTGGTCTTATCACATTTAACCATAGTTGTCTTTGTTTTTGTTGACGGGCAGTGGCGGCTGGTTTTGAGCCATGACTCCTTCTATTCTGGCTCCCAATAACACAACAAGACAAACATATTTTAATGCAGCATTCATAAGGTCGGAGGTTCCGAGGTCTCGACCATTAATTCAGGGGAAAAGTGCTTTGAACACGTGGTCTGAGCGGAATTTTTCGCTCTGAATGTCGTGCGGAAGTGTAGCAACCTGAGGACGTGGCATGACGTTACAGCAATGGCAGCCCCCTTTGCTACCGGTGTGTCAAATAGTTTTTCTTAGGTCAAAAAATGTATGTCAAAGACGTCTTTAAGCAAATTCTCCACCACTACACGTAATTTGAATATTCTGTGTATAATTATACCTCGAATTAGTAACACTGCCAACGCTGTACATTAGCAAAACATCTTTGACCTCTTCATTTAGCCAAAAAGGCTAACGAGCGAAAATCTTCTTGCAGGCATGCATGTGTGTTTACGTCCAAGGTCCGATGTGAGGCGATGAACTCACTTTTTCCAGAAGTAGGGGCTTTTCATGTCAGGCAGCTTTACCTTCAGGTGATAACATGATGTCATCGTGATGCCATCGTGACATCAGACAGTATTTTGCTGTTGGGACTCGATGTGTCCCCTTCAGGAGCAGCTACTGACTCAGGTGAGACACCTGCTGGTTAGACTGGTCCAGTCTGACACTGGTCTAACCATCACGTCTCTGCACACTCTGGGCCCTATTTAGATGGTCTAAAGCAGATGGCAGAGGGCGCATAATCCATGTCACAAGTGTCATTGCTATTTAGATGCAGGCGCAGTTGTCATTTTCACACCTTGCGCCCCGTCATCTAACTAGCAAATGAACTTGCGCTTCTCTGGGTGTGTTGGTCTAAAAATGAGGAGTGGTCAGGAGCAGTCATGGCACATAGCTAGTTAGATGACGTAAAAAAAAAATGCACCAGTGACCAACAAAAACCTGGTCTAAAGTCAACGGCGCAGTATTTCGCTGTTAAACAAGTTCGTAATATGCGTCTCTAGGCGGGTGCACAATGCTCTGCTCAGACACACACGGAGCAGCCACACACATGCAAAAGATAACAAATAAAAATATGATTACAGTGTGAAAGGTTATTATTGTGCACATTAAAATATTTATCAGAAACACGTCTTAATGGTCAGTCATTAATCATAATGATCTAATCGCAGTAATAATGATCATCATAATCCGGGAGGTCCAAGCTGCAGTGTCCGAATATACGGAACTGCGAGCAGACCTGCACAGGCTGATGATGCATAGCCTGTAAAATGAACTTGTCTTTCCCAATTGAATTGTGATCATTTTGGCATGTAAATCACAAAATCAAAGATATTTAAACGTTTGTAAAAAAAAAAAAAAAAAAAAGCTTTTAGAACGTAAAACTGAAGATCATCTTGTCAGGAGGAGGAAGAGGAGGAGGAGGAGGAGGAGGATGCACAGTGGCCGCACAGCCCGCCGCACAGCCAGACCAGACGGCCCGGGTGCAGCCACGGGACCAGCCATTCCTGCACCTTCAGGCGGGGGGTTCAGGATGCTGGAGAGGGAGCTGGGCTCTCTAACC